ATGAAAACGCAGCAGGCACACCTTTTTCCTTCATCACAATATCGGGAGACGATAGAGCTGAGAAGTTACTGTATTCACTCCCATACCTTTTGCTACATCGCCAAGGAAGTCAAGTACATCGACTCAGAACTCCCAAACATAACACGAGTGATAGGTTACTGTTCGTTTACGTGTATTTAACAATGCCATTGACTTCCAGACCCGTACGGTGTCGGAATGAACAAGGGAAGGTATGTACGTTGAAAGTTGGTGGTGCAATATTACTGTATATCGTGACATCGTTGCGTATTTCATGATATTTAGAACTGTTTCAAAATAGCATGTTAAGTGTTTTAGAGGTACTAGATATAGAAACTTTTGTTATTGTTAGTTGGTACTGTTTTGTTCTGAATTTATTTGACGTGTTTTATTCTAATCTGGTGCAAATAAAGATGGCATGTTAATTGTAGTGGAGATACTAGATGTTATTGTTATTTTGTATCAATATGCTTTTGTTTTATTTGTCGATTTTTTTTTTGATGATATGCATATCAGTAAGTGCAAGCTTCGGATCTATTTTTTTGATGTAGAATGGCTTTTTTAATCTAATTGTAGAAAATATATTGTGTTTTAGAAGTACAAGAAAGTATTGGTTTTAAAGTACATATGAAAAATGGCATATGTACTATGCATGCTTGAAAAAAAATTAAGAACTGTGATTTCTGTGATTACTGGTAAGTAAAAGTAGCCTTAACATTAGTATTCATATGTGTATGGATAACATCATTTCATTAAATAAACAATTCAAATATAAATCAATATTATCTAAACATAGTCTTTGATTTTCATGAATTTGCTTCACACATACATGTATATATATATATATATATATATATATATATATATATATATATATATATATATATATATATATATACATATATACATATATACATATATGTACTATATATATATATATATATATATATATATATATATATATATATATATATATACATATATATATATATATATATATATATATATATATATATATATATATATATAGAAATATATATATATATATATATGTATATATATGTATATATATGTATATATATATATATATATATATATATATATATATATATATATATATATATTTATTTATTTATATATATGTTTTATTCTTGCATGTTGCACTAGTGTGTCATTAAACTTATAATATAATTCAAGTAATCCCAAGACTTAATGTGCTTGATCTCGTTCTCTTTTTTTCTTGTTTTTTTTTTCTTATATCAGCACACACACACACACACACACACACACACACACACACACACACACACACACACACACACACACACACACACACACACACACACACACACACTTACACACACGTACAAAACATATATGTATATTTTGTACGTACAGTATACATGCATTTATACACACACACACACACACACACACACACACACACACACACACACACACACACACACACACACACACACACACACACACACACACACACACACATATATATACACACATACACACACGTACAAAACATTTATGCATATTTTGTACGTACAGTATACATGCATTTATACACACACACACACACACACACATATATATATATAGTATTATGTCCTGACCTATGTTTATCCCTCTCTCACACACCACACCCGCCTCGCCACCCAGGAATGGGCGACACTCGATGTACGGCAATCCCCAAGGCCTACCGGGACTCCCCCAGTCCCGGTACATGCCTCTGGGGGGTCACAAATCCCCCCGCCCGCCCCCCCGGCCCCCGGCTCCACGCCCCCCTCCCCCCCAGCCCCCGATGATGTCCAACCTGCCGCCACAGCCGTCGATCCCGCAGCCGGACCCCATGGTCGGTACGTAGGGGGAGCCTGGTTTTCTGTCTCTCAGTGAAGGAAATTATACGTACATACATACATACATTCATATATATATATATATATATACATACACACACACACACACACACACACACACACACACACACACACACACACACACACACACACTAATGACCATTATAATGATAATGATAATAATGATAATAGTGATAATGGTATTATTATGTTAATATTGATGATGATGATAGTGATGATGATGATAACAATGATAATAATAATAATGATAATAATAATGATAATAATAATAATAATAATAATAATAATAATAATAATAATAACAATAGTAATGATAATAACACTAATAGAAATATCAGTTACATATAATAATAATGATAATAACAGTAATGATAGTAATAATAATAATGACAGTAATGATTATGATAATAAAATTAATAACGCCGGTAATGATAATGCGAGTGAGAGAAATACTCTTATTAATGATAATAGTAATAACAAAAGCAGCAACGATGATGACTGTAAGTAATATGGTGACAACCGTGATATGACAATGATGATGATAACAATTATTTCTCTTTCCTCCTATCCCCCTAATTCTCCCTCACTCT